CCGCCCAGCTGCCGGGGTCTTCTTCCCTGCGGGGAGGCGAAGGAAGGAGGGCGGCGGGAGCATGGCCGGAGGGGAGCGAGGCGGCGGCGGAGGGGGCCACGGCAGTGGCGGAGGCGGAGGCGGCGGCCCGTCGGGGTCCGAGAGTCGCGAGCACTTGTTCAAGGTCCTGGTCATCGGCGAGCTGGGCGTGGGGAAGACCAGCATCATCAAGCGCTACGTCCACCAGCTCTTCTCGCAGCACTACCGGGCCACCATCGGGGTGGATTTCGCCCTCAAGGTCCTCAACTGGGACAGCAGGACGTTGGTGAGGTTGCAACTCTGGGACATCGCAGGTGAGGGAGCCCGAAGAAGCCGGGCTGGAAAACTGGCTTTGCCCCTCCGCTCGGGAGGAAAAGGGAGGGTTTGGGTGTTTTTGGCGGGGAGAGGAGGCTTGCGACTCCAAATACCCTGAGATTTGCTCCATTTGTCAAAGGAATGAATTGGAAGTATTCTTTACTGACCTCTTGATGCAAAGGCAGCTTCGAATGGGCCCAACCCTTTTCGTTCCTAAAGTGGATTTGTTTTTTCCCCCCTGGGCTGCAGGGGTAGGTACGGGCTTCTGGTTCAAGCTGGAAGGATGGTCTTTTCCCAATGTGATTAGTCGATACTGTACATTATTGTAATGAGTGTATGTGTGTGTGTGTAGGTGATTCAGTGGACACTTGGGGTGTGATGTTCAGCACTGGCGGGTGGGAAAACACCCCTGCTTTCTTTCCTCTCCCCCATGCTTTCAATTTTTTTTTAATTCTTTAAAATATTCTTACATATACAGTATGAGATAAGCACTAGACCACCCTATCATATTATCGCTGGCTTGTTATTATGAGTTCTTGTATTTATGCCCCATAAAAGGATCAGCAGAGGCAAGATCAGAGAAAGGAAGGAAAGACAGAAGTTGGGGGCTCTTAGCTGGAATAGTGAACTCTCAAATCTGCAGCCCTTGTGTGACCACTAGCAGCAATTTCAAACAATACAGGCTGCAAAGCAAAGCCAGTGTAGTTGCACCCTATACTCACAAGAAACTGATTTCCTTATTATGACTTTGTTTGTTCTTGGGTTGGAAGTTGCTGGGCTGCCTTTCAGAAAGTGTTTTTTGTAATGGGCGAGTTCTGTGGTTAGCTGATAATATGCTTCAGAGACCTAAACTGGAATCCCTCATGAGTCATGAAACTCATTAGATGGTCCTGGGCCTAGTCTGCCTCTTTCCCCATCACCCGCATGTCCTCCCATGTAGGTAAATACAGAGGTGCCTTGACTTATGAACTTAATTGGTTACAGAACTCCGGTTGTAACTTGAAATGGCCGTAAGTTGAAGCACCATTTCCCATAGGAATGCACTGAAATGCAATTAATCCATTCTGGCCAAAGGAAAAAATCACCAAATAACCCCCAAAACACTGCAAGATCTATCGGAAACATGATTAATCTGTTCTGGCCGAAGGTGGGGGGGGGGGAGAGAAGAAAAGCAAACAAACCATGCAAGACTCTTTGGAAATGCAAAAAAACCAAAGCAGAAAGCAAACAAACCGTGCAAGACCGATCGCAAATAACCCCCAAAACACTGCAAGATCTATCGGAAACATGATTAATCTGTTCTGGCCGAAGGTGGGGGGGGGGGAGAAGAAAAGCAAACAAACCATGCAAGACTCTTTGGAAATGCAAAAAAACCAAAGCAGTGCAAACAAACCGTGCAAGACCCATCAGAAATGCAGAAAAGCAAAGCAGAACGCAAACAAACCCCACAGGACCCATCGGAAATGGGGTCGAAAAAACCCCAAAAAGCAAACAAACCCCGCAAGACCCATCGGAAATGGGGGGGGGAACCCAAAAAAGCAAACAAACCCTGCAAGACCCATCGGAAATGGGGGAAAAAACACCAAAAAATAAATAAACAAACCGTGCAGGACCCATTACAGCACAGAAACATAATCCCACCACCCAGCCCAAAACCCACAGTTTTTAAAAAGCAGAAAGCAGCACCTTTCCTTACCAGGCAGTCCGAAACCTCCTCTGATCGCACACTCTCTAACTGTTGGGGCGAAAGAGCTACAAAGAAGCAGCCTTTTCACCTACCAATGGTTAGCAATTTGAATTCACCGCCTTTTTCCCCTGCCCTTTTCTGTTTGTAACTGGAAGCTCTGGCCGCAAGTCGAAGCAAAATTTTGCAGCCGGAGCTGGTCGTAACTCAAAATGGTTGTATGTCGGGACATTCGTAAGTTGAGGCACCACTGTAAGTTGAACAGAAATAATACGCCATACTTGGAATTCCATAGAAGAATGTGTTTAAGTGTATTTCTGTATTCTGGGAGCAAGAGCCAGTTCTCATGTGCTGTTCCTCAGCAAATCTCTCTTGTTTTGTTATGTGGATTCACAGCTCTGCAGATGTATCAAAATATATGACGTGTTTTTGAACATATGGTGTGTACGCTTTTACATGAAAATTGTGTTTGTGTTGGGAAAAATGTCAAAATGGTGGCCCAAAGCCATAAAAAGTCCTGGCACAAACTTAAAGTAGGAGAAAGAATTACTAGATTTTTCAAAACTCTTGTAAACTTCTTGTTATATTTGAGAATTTGATTTTTTTTTGCAGTATTTTTATTTTGCCAAACAGCTGACTACCATGCTAATGTTTTAAGTAGTTAAACTTTTCTTTGTACTGACGCTGGTGGGCTAGGTTCATAAGTTGGGTAGAAGCCAGAGATCAGGGGTTTGATTCCCCAGGGCTGCCTCATGGGAGAAAAGCCAGCCTATGTCGCTTTGGGCAAGCTGCACAAGTGGTAAACTCAACACATCATGCAGACCTTTTGGCTGTCTACATGTGAAGATGAAGAAGGGAAGAAAATGTTGCTTGTTTACAGGTATTCTCAACTGACAGATTAATAGCAGGGGATTTAATATTTTTATTTAAAATATTTTTAACGCACCTTTCTCTTTAGAAAGGACGCAATATGGCTTACGACAATTAAAAGAGAGCATTTAAGATTAGTAACAATGAGTCTACAATGCTAAAAGTATCAGTGAAGACAATGCCACAGAACAGAAGCAACACCAAAATAAGAATAATGCAATAAGGTACAACAATCCATTTGCAAAACCTCACTCAGGCATTCTAAAGGCAGGGCAAAATGAAAGCTGACCATGATTTAACTTTGCAAAAAACAGAGACCAATATTTATGTAAGGAGCCAGTCACTCAGGGAAAGCTTGCCTGCAGAGAAAGATCTTCACCTGCTTGTGGAAGGAAAGAAAAGATGGGGCCGATTTAGCCTCTTGTGGGAGGGAGTTCCAGAGTCTGGGAGCAGCAACAGAGAAGGCTCTCAGTTTCTCTGTTAGTGCATGTTCTCCACAAAAATGGATGTGTTCTAGTAGCTTGTTCAAAAGTGGTGGATTTTCAGTAAGTTGATGACTATTTGATGTGGTCTGATCAATCATTATGTTCCATAAAGCCTAGTACTGTATTACTCTGTTCCCTCTTCCCCGCCCCCACCCGCCCCCAATTTCTGGCAGCTTTAAATTGCAGGGATATATTGATGTGGCCATTTTTAAAATCTTATCACTAGTCTCCTGAGGAAGTATGATCTTTTGGAAGACCAGCCCTACCTCCTTAAAAAAACTTTAAAAGTTTACATAAACATTAGCCTCTGTTTTTGCAAAGCTAAACCATGGTCAGCTTTCATTGTGCCCTGCCTTTAGAATGATAGGCCATTTTATATAGTTGTTGAATGCAAGAAGGACTTTTCTTTTTCTTTTGCCAACCTGAAAATCTTCCAGTAAAGGATCAGCATTCTCTTCTTAGCACCTCCCTACCACCACCACCTTCTGCAACTGGGTGCAGCTATTTTGAGGTTCAGCAATTATTCCTTCTAAAGAGAGCAGGAAAATTAGGGCTAATAGCTAGACATAGCTTTTTAAAAATCAATTGCCCTGCTAGTACTGTGAAAGCATTGCTTTTATCACTGCAGGTTCGCTAAACAATACAATTTCAAAACAACTTTTGGCCGATGGTAGGAAGTCCACATACAGGCTCTTGGGATAGAACAGAGCTTTCAGCTTTTATATGCACAAAACCAATTTATGTTAATCTAGGGGCAGTGAAGTCTGCTGCTTTTGAAATTTTGGCCCTTGACAAAGTGATCTGCTTATTTACAGACTGCTCTGCAGCCTGGTTACCCACAAAACACAAGCATTGCATCACTTTTAAGAGCAACAAAATAATTTTAATGTGAGCTATTGCAGATACAGCCCAGTGCTTGGTGGATCTGTTCCATTTCTACAAATATATCAGATTATATCCACAAAGCCACATAACAAGTTTGTTCATCTTAAAAATGCTACAATACTACGGTTTTTGTTACTTCTATTGTGGAAACATGGGTAGGTCTCTGTAAAAAATGTAGCCATTTTCATTTTATGTGTATACAGTATTTGTGTCTACTAACATCAGGAGAATTTATGTTGCCAATGCTATTTTCATTCTACTGATAGCATAGGAATGGTGCATTTCATTCTTGTGGTTGTGCAACCAGCAAAATTTAAAATGTTAATAAAGCATCATCTGTGACATGTACGATTCCTTCATTACTATTACTATCTAATATATGGAAATATTAATGAAAATGCTCAGTTACATCCTTGAAAGCCTTTAAGAAACATAAAGCTAGAAGGGACCGTCAAGGAGGCCCAGTGGGGAATCAAACTCACAGCCTCTGGTTCCGCATCTGGAAACTTAAATCACTAAATTATCCAGCAACAATTTCTGTAGAAGTTACTGGTTTTCTTCAAGTTCCTGGTATTTTATAATGACCCACTTTCCCGTAAATAGTGAATGCTGTTCCTCTAACATGATCAGTTTTTAAAATAAAACCCTGTGATTTGAGGCTTCTTCAAAATCTTGCTTGCATGCATGCCATTCCTTGGCAGAGGGACAGAAAATATATCTGAGTTTGCCAGCAACAGTGATGAGACAGAGAGTCATGTGTTGGTCACATCTGGGTAAGAGAATTGTTTTAGTGCAGCCTTTCCTAGCTGCTTGCCTATTAATTCCTGTCAACCCCAACTGGCATGGCCAGAGCCAGGCATGATGGGAACTGTAGCCTGCAACATTGGGAGGATGCTCATTAGAATAAGAAGAAGGCTGAAGTTGTGCAAATTCTGTTATTCTACACGTTTTGAAGCAGCATGCGGCATGAATGGCTGACGGTCAGATTCCAAAAGATCTCCTGTATAGAGAACTAGTGCAGGGAAAGCATCCCAGAGGGAGACCACAGCTGTGATACAAGGAGATCTGCAAGCAG